AAAAAAAAAAAAAAAAAAAAAAAAAAAAAAAAAAAACACATCTTAGTAAAACCAATACCTTCTCAGCTTCGCATCGAAGCAAAAAATATGACACATTCAAGATGCCCAATCTCCGTTTATGCCTTTCATGGCACATTATATAAGGGCAGAAGACCCTGTTTTTCCACTCACTCACTTATCTCTTTTTCTTACGTTATTTTCTCAGATTATTTCCAAAATACTCTAGTGTATTCTTTGTGTGTGTCACCATAGCCTTTATCTTAATTCAATCACATAGTTTAAAACTTACCATTGTTAATATAATTAACACTATTCTTATTAATAAATACGATTCCATAATTCACATATTCTCTTTTACCATCTAAAATTTTAAACAACACTTTTAACAACTACAAGTCAACAACTGAGATTCAATTATCATCATCAATGAATATCAAGTAAATGTAGTTTTATTTCACTAACCACACTTATCAAGTAATAACTAGAAATCAAAGTACTTATATTTATTATGTCTGTATGGATGATACTTTTATCATTATTCTTTATTAATACCATGCCCGTCGACTTTATTTTTAGTCATTATAGTGTTAACGGTGTAGGAGCATCACCACTGAACTCTAGGCTGGACTCGTGTGTAAGGGAGAAATATAGATACAAAGTAAGAATAGGTACTTAGAATGTTGATACATTAACTGTTAGAAGTAGTGATCACAGATTGATTATTTTATGTGGAAGAGAAAGAGCGTAAAGCGAGTAAAATATTGTAAAGTTTTATCAGGCGAGAGTGTAATTACACAACATTGACTGATGGTAATGGAGTTGTGGTGTAGTGGGAAGATAATATACAAAAATAGAAGGAACACAGGAGAAAAATCGAGGATCTGGTGGTAAAAATTTAAAGGGGAAAATTTAAAAAGTTCTTCAAGCACAGTAAATGAGAGGGCGGTGTGGAATATCGAGGGAGACATAATAGATTGGAATATATTTGCTAGTTGTGTAAAGAATACTACGAAGGAGGTTGTTGGTGAGAGTAGAAGTAGAATGCCAGAAAACAAGGAAACCTGGTAGTTTGATGTTAACGTTCAAAAATCATACAAAGTAAGAAAAATCAATTTAATGTATGATATAAGAGCAAAAGGAGAGAAGATTGGATGGAGTATAAATGCTTGTGCAAAGAAACCAAGTGTGCAGTAAGTAAGGAGAAGTTTAAGAGGTATGATTAGTTGTATGATAGGCTAGGAACAAAGGAAGGCGAGAAAGAAATCTATAGACTCGAAAAAGTAAGAGAAAAAGGTCTAGAGATTATCACTATGTAATGTGTATAAAAAGTCTTGATAATAGGGTACTATCAAGTAATGATGATGTGAAAAAAGGTGGAAAGAGTATTTTAAAAAATTACTGAATGAAGAATATCCAAGAGTGACATTAGAGGATATCTTGTGGAACGAGGCACTGGTAGATTTAACTAATGAGAAAGAGTTATGAGAGGCTGCGGCATAAATGAAAAAGTATAAAGCAGTAGGACCAAATGGAGTACTAGTAGAAGTATAGAAAATATTAGACGTTGTTGGCGTAAGATGGTTGAAGAATCTCTTAAATAAAATCTTATTAGAAGGGAAACTCCCAAATGAATGGAAGAATAATATTTTGGTAACGATATTTAATGGCAAAGAAGACATACAAAAGTGTGGAAATTATAGAGGCATAAAGCTTATGAGTCATTGTATGAAAATTTGGGAAAAGGTAATAAATAAGATAATAAGAAATGAGACATCTAAAAACCAGTTTCGATTTATGCCAGGTAAGTCAACAATGGAGCCATTATTTTGTGTGAGGCAACTTATAGAAAATTTTAGGGAAAAGAAGAAAATTCTGTGTATGAAATTTATAGATTTTTAGAAAGCGTATGATAGAGTACCGAGAGAGGATTTAAATAAAAGTGGAATTAATGAGAAAAGGAGTCCGAATAGGTACATTAATATAATAGAGGATATGTTTTATTGTAAGACTAGGAGTGCACCAAGGTTCTGCTTTAAGCCCTTGCTTATTTTTTATAGTGATGCATAAAATTACTAGAGAAATACAAGGGGAGGTGCTGTGGTGCATGTTGTTTGCTGACGATATAGTATTAATAGGAGATCAGTAACAATAAGTGAGGACGTGATAGGAGAGGTGGAAAGTTTTAAGTATTTAGGATCAGTTATGCAAAAGAGCAGTTGTATTGACAAGGATGTAAGACACAGGAATTGTGTGAGGTTGAAGTGGAAAGTAGCGTCTGGTGTGTTATGCGATAAAAGAATTTCAATGAGTCTGATAGGTAAGTTCTATAAGACTGTAGAGACTAGCTATGATTTATGGTTCAGTGTGTTTAGGAAGTTTAGGATAAGGGTGGCCGACGCCAAGTAGTTGAGATCAAGGCGAGAAAAAAGAAGAAAAGATTTATACAATAATATATCAACGATACATGTCATAAATATATTGCCGATTATACTATTTCACAGTGCATACCTCAAAAATTGACAAAGTGACATTTTTATCAATAATAATAAAATGACTGTTTTTGCATAGTTATGGCTGGAGGAGAGACGCAGTTATGACTATTTATTTTATTAAATGATTCTCATAAGCATTTTTCCTAACTTCAAGATAAATTTTAAGACAAATTGCACGCACTCGATTTTATTTTATATACTTCTTTATACAACCTTATGAAACTTCAACTATTTTAAAAAGTGGCGACTTTTGATTGTCAAACTTATTTTATTTTTTAATGAGAAAACTAAAATGCTCCTCTAAAAATATTTAAGCAAACAAAATCTTTTTATTATAAACTATTTTACATAATTAATAATTTTCTCCAAGTTAATTGAGAAGAGTTTAGCTGGGCTAAAGTCGTGTTTATTTTTTTATACTTTATAACCATTTTAGCTTCGATGCAAAACTGAGAATGCATTAATTTTACCATGATGTGTTTTTTTTGTGTGTGTCTTTTGTCACTTTATCTCAGCTCTCATTGGACCGATTTCTTTCAACAATACGTCAAAAGATCACTAATCGTATCTAGTCGAAGACATTACTCTTAAAAATTAAACAAATTTTACTCGTTCTCCATAAACAGGGAAATCTCCAAAAAAATTAGGATTTTTAAAATCTGTAAATTTTGACATTTTTTTCAATTTTTTTTCTTAACACTACCATTTTAACTTTTTTTAAAAATAATAAATTAAAATAATTTTTTTTATATTGAAATCATAAGTAATTGCCTTTTATTTGATATAATATTTACCATTTACCTGCCCACAAAAGGGGATTCAAAATAGCAACTTTTTTACAAAACTCAACTTTTTCAACTTAACTTTTGAAAATGATCCGGAAATACTGCGTCCTTTATATATATATATGTAAAATTTAAACTTATGTTACGTTCTATAAATTAAAAAAAAAAAAATTTTTCCGACTTCTATGTGTAAATGGCCGCCGAAATTAAACAAAAAATGTAATATTTGCTAAAAATCACTTTCTATCGTGATGTTTTTTGTACTTAAAACTTTTTGAAGGTATTTTCCTTTCATTTGATATAAATTTATTTTATATTTAAACTTTTAATTGCTCATGGGGGATTCAAAATAGCAACATTTTAACAAAAGTCAGGAAATTAATAAGGAAATTTAATTTCTATAATATTTATTCATATATTATACTTCTAAATCAAAAAACTACTAATCAGGAATAATGAAAGAAATAGGAGTTCATTTTGCTTTTGGTATAATTCACCAATTTCTTAAAATTAAACATTATCTACAGATTTGCATCGAAGCGATTTTTATGATAGTGATTTTAATCACTGTCAGATATCTCTATACTTGTACCAATTATACCACGTCCACACTGTGCCGCTAACCCACTGTGCTACCGTTTTTTAAATAATATAAGTTCATATAAAGCCCGAGCAAAACTAGGAAAATTTTTTGAAACTATCCGAAAATTTACATGTTTTTAGACCCTTCTGTAATTTCCACATTGTACTGTAAATTTTAATAGTGGGTCTAATGGATCATTAGTCCGCCGACCAAAATAATTTTTGTAAGTAATATAATTATTTATATATTGAAATTATTAAATGGACCAGGCCCAATGACATAATATCTAGCCTAATCATTAATTTTTAGATGAATATTTTTTAAATCAATTTACCACAATATTAGTTTTTTTAATAATTGATTTCAAAGAAATATTCGACTTTAAGGCTTTAAATTAGTAATACTAAGAAATTCATAAAACCTACCTAATGACATTTTGACTGTTATAAATAATATTTTTGAAGTCAAATTTAACTTTCTTCTGTAATTCCTTTACATCGATATCTGTTAAAAATAATTTTATAGTAAAAAAATACAGGTTTTTATAAAAAAAAATTATCCAAGTTATGAATATGAATGTATATAAATATAAATTAAATATTTTATTGAATGAATTTGATTGTTTTTAAAATAGTTACTTTTTCGTAATATATTTTCTTTGTACAATATTCCAACATTTTCAAAGCTATCATTAATCACATCTAATTGACCTACTATTGATAGACTTACAGATATTAAAGTTATATCTGCTGGTAAGGCAAATAAAATGTAAACAATAGCACATAAAGTTTCGATTATGTGAAAAATTGGAAAATATGTGTTATATGTATCTGCTGATACTAAAAAATATATATTATAAATATTCAAATGATAATTGCTGTATGAACCATCATGATTTTTTACAATTACATAACTATTATTCAAAATATATCCACTTGACGACCAAACAAGTAATACAAAAAAAGTTAATACTGCAATTAAATTGGTGTATTTCATTGAAATGGCTCGCCATATTATCAAAATATTCTTATTATAATTTTCAATACACAAGAACTCAAGATTAGTTATTTTTAAGATATCCCAAATAATTTCAGAATCTTTCATAAATAAACACATTCTGTAGGCAGCAAAGAGCATATTCTGTAATACAATAATCTGTAATATAAATTGAATTAAGTCATTTTTCCATTGGTACAGTCCAAACATAATGCACGTCGATATTGCTGCAATGTAAATAATACCCAGTTTCACCAGAAAACCAACAAATTTAAGACCTCTCTTCGTTTTTGGATTTAAAATATAATAGTAACCAAGAAATTTAGCCAATCGTATATTAAAAATCCAGTTTTCATATTTATTTATTTCCATCATATTTCTTTTCAAAATTTCTGCAAGACAAATATATTGTGATTTTTTTAATGAAATACATCATACATCAGTTTTATACATTTTAAATTAAATGTAAAAAATTTGTTTATATAATATTATATGATTTTTTTCTACTGTATAAAACTGAAATAATAAAATAAAATTATTAGTTTACAACGCATAATTCAATGTTTCTAAATAAAAATATAATTCATTAATAATTATAAAAATGTATTAATTATTCATTATTATAAAATAAATTATTTCATTATAAGAGTGACATCTGAACTATAGTACTAAAATAGCTTTTTCAGCTACATAAAATATGTATAAAATCAAATAATTTACAGTAAAAAAATAATTATTAATTTTTTATAAAATTACCGCTGTATAGATAAATTTTTGTTATTAAGCTTCACCTTTGATATGTAAAACCAAACACAGACTATCCTACAAAAGTTTTGAATAAGTACCTATCATTACTAAGCTTTTTTAGTATACAAAGTGGGTGGTATAAGAGCCACCCGGTAAAAAATCACTACCACCTGGTGGTTAATGGTAGTATCTTATATATTGGCAAAATAAAATAAATGTTTTTCGATTATTATTTGAGAAATCTTGAAGATTTTTTTGGAGGGATCATTTTATGTACCTGAGACAGTTTACCAGTTTATGACGGATTTAATTGGATAAGTATCATTAAAAATAATTCTAAATCCGACATTTTTATAAATCTATTTTATTTAAATATATGTTTAACTTCTTCCAGTAAATTATCCTAAATATATTTTCTTATGCAAAAAAATTTAATATTAAAACATAAACTATTAGTATCAAATTAATGAATGTGTAGTGTTTTGGTGTTTATATTTATTACAAAATACTACAATTAAAATTTATAATAATTAATACTTTTTAATAATGAA